TTCCAGCTGTTAGGCGCCTGGGGCGTGGCAAAGGCTCCACAAACATTTGCCCAGAAAATGAATAAAACAACGCTCTCTACCCAAAATGCTTCTCTTCAATCCGTGCAGCCACCTTTTCCTCAGAAGTATGAAGGGGCCAGTTTCCCCTTCCTGCACACCCCACTCAGTCCCTGCGGCCCCTGCCTCTCTCCTAGCATCTCTGAGGGTCCAGGCACCCGGATCCCTGCTCTCCCCAGAGCTTGCTCTGCTCACTTTCAATTTGTTCCCAACATTATCTCATTGGCCACTGTCCGAGCTCCTGGTTCCTGTCTCTCTCTCACCACTGTCTCCCATGCCCCTGTGGTTTTTGCCTCAGGAACATTTTCCAGAGTAAATTTTGTGTCTGCATGTTTTTTTTAATCCCTAGACATAAACTTTGGGAAGGAAATAGTTGAAAAGCCCTTTCCTGGTTCCAAATACACAGGGTGACAGAAGAGTACAGTGAATGTTGAATTTTTTTAAATTGTCACAATAAAAGATATAGTTGCCATTAATCCTCCTCTAAATATTCCTGTGGCTTTGAACACACTTATCCCGCCCTTCTTGCTGCTTTCTGAAGCAGTTCCGGAAGTCCTCTTTCATGAGTCTCTTTCCAAGGTGTGATAAAAAAATACGGTGAATGCTGCTGCCAAGTGCCACCCAAAGGAAAAGCAGGCTGGTAAAAACACTGCACCATGTCCTGGTCCACCCCATTCACTGGATCTGACGGTGTGCAACTGCCGGCTCGTCCCCGAGTCAAAATGACCACAAAAGGGAAACATTTTGAATAAATTTAGGTCGTCGAGGCAGCCATGGCAGCACAACTATACATTCATGGAAAAGGCCCTGCAGACCTGCTCTGGAAGAAAGTGGTGGACCAATGGAATATGCGTGTTCAAAGTGAGGGAGAGAATTTTGAGGGGGATTAATAGCAATTGTTTGTCTTTTCTGTGATAAAAACTTTTAAACTTAAATATTCAATATACTTTTCAATCATAGCTCATAGGCTTTTGTATATTTTTCTGCCGAACAATTGCTAGAGACTACAAGAACGAAGAAATATATAAACTGAGCAAACGCACCAGGAGTGCACAGGTGCCCTGGTATTCCTGAGCTCAGCCCATGACACACCCAGGATGCATGTAAAGGGCACCCAGGCTGGGTTGGCTTTGCAGGTGGGTGCAGATCCAGGCTGAGAAAGCTCAGGGCCACAGAAGCAAATGAGGGCAGTCAGGGCCAGTGAGGAGCAGGAAATGCTGGCTAGAGAAGAGTATCTTACAAGCAGCAGAGAATTGCTAAGGAAGAAATTAGCACTTTCATTCTAGACTCTCCAGACAGTCAGAACAGCCCATGAAGACTCTGGCTGAACACAAGATAACCAGAGATGGTGGCAGAAGAATGGACAGTGTGGAGTCCAGGCCAGGCAGACCCAGTTCTCCCCGGTCATGTCTCTCACGATCGCTGGTGACCACTGGCAGGTTCTTTATTCTCTCCACCCCGAGTCTCCTCATCTTCCTACCATGGATGTGACTGTGTGGAAGACAAGTTGCTGAGGGCTAAGGGACACAGTGTGTGCTTCTCACCGTTCCAGGCACATGAAGATATTAGTAGCACAGGATTATGGGAATAACTAACTTCTTAGAAGTGTGACTGACTTCTAGATCACATCATTGCTGGGATGTTCAAGTTACATGAGAAATTAAGGCTGCTCACATGGTTAAACAAATACTACTTGTATATAAAAGGCATGGGGGCCCTGCATCTCCAGGCCCAAGGCTCATTTTTGATGGGACATTATTCTAAACAAATTCCTCAGGGGCAGGGACGGGAGAAGGGGGTTTTGTAGACTTTAAGAATTCTCAGTGCCTCTTTCCTTCTAAAATAGAGATCTCAATAGCTCTGGGAAAAACCCTCCAGAACTCCACCCACTTGGTTATTTATTTTAAACATGCTATATGTTGGGGTGCCCACCAGGATCCCACCTCTAAACTTTCCCAAATACACCCAAAGTACTGAACATTGTCAAGTTTTCTGAGCTGCCAATGATAACACTGACTTTGAATTCAGCCTATATCATCTGCATATTTTTCCCATGAAAAACCAAATCAAGACTGGTTTTTTAAACAGTCTGAATGTATATCCTTCTTTAAATTCATGCCATGGGATTTAAACAAAACCAGATCCTTTACCTACCCTCTTGTTGCAAGATACTGTTTATTTTTCCTGCAAATGGACCATATATCAGGGTAAAATAAATGTCCTTCCCTCTGGAGATGTGTACATGGAACTTTTTTTTTTCCTGGCCAAACTTCCAAAAGCTAAACATCTAATGAAATGACTGATATTGCCCTGGCCTGTGGAAGGGGCTTTAATTCTCACCAACCAAACATTGAGGATCTAGAATCTAGACCCAGTTTGGCCATGATCTAAGTGGGGATGACCTTGGGATCCTTCCACCTCTCTATTCTTGGTCCTAACTCCATGAGCTGGTGGGGTGGGGTGGGATTGGGAAAGGGAGAGAGAGAGAGGAATTGATCTGAAACCCATCCAAACCCCAAAACCCTATGACTCCAGATCAAAACATGGATAAACAATGGCAAGATTTTTGTTCTGAAAACTATTTCAATATTGACTCAAAACTCAGGTCCCAAGAGGATCTCTCTGTCATGTACTCCTCAAAGGAAAACCTCCTGTCCTCCTCCCATGTGAGGGGTAGCTGTCTTGCTTTTGTCACCAACACCTTTAACACAGACCTGCCTGCTGGAACTTTTTGGTTTGGGGCTACAGGGAGACGTCAAACCAAAGCTGGTGACCACAGCAGACCCTGCTTAGTGGCCCCTCCTGCACAGAACCTATTTTGGAGGAGGTCCGCTCGCTGATGCTGAGAACTTTGTCTTCCCATGGTGGGGCTGCTCAGTCCCAGGGAATGACTAAGAAAGCCTCAGAAGTGGGCACCATGTTCGTCAGCATTTCCGCCCTTCCCTGAAAGATGAGCTCTGGGCCTCTCCTCTGAGCCGAGTCTCAGGGATATAGTTAACACCTCTGGGACAGGACGGCCTTGGGAACTCTGTGGGAATCTGAGCACAGCTGAGGTTAGCATGGTCTAGGCCGGCTGGGGAGTGGCAGCCATGGGAAGGAACTCGACATGGTGCAGACCCAGAGGTCAGCACTGAGCCACTGAGCCGTGGTGGCTGTGGGTCCCCTAGTGCTTCCATCTGCATTCAGACAGGAAGCCACGGGTTTTAAGGAGCCCAACCCCACTTTTCAAGACCCCATCGCCCAACTTCCAGGGGATGAATCAGGGAATCAGAGCCCTGGGATTCAGTTCCACCTCTGGCCCACACAGTGACATAGAGAAGACTGTCCTCCCTTTAAGCCTGGATGGTAGGGGTGATGCCTGCAGGGTAACTGATTCATGATGAGGGGGGCGGGTTCCTCACACACTGAACAGCTTCCAGTCAATGAACCCTCATTGCTGAGCCCCTCACCTTCCTGTCCCATTACCCAGGGGCCACTTTTAAGGTCCTGGAAGGGAAAACTTAGAGCATTGTGTAGCCCGGGGCTGAGTTTCGTGTCTCCAGGCTCCAGGCAGGGTGTAGTCCCTGCAGAGGGGCGTCCAGAGCTGATGTCAGCCTCTGGTAGTGCAGCCAGCAGGCCTGAGAGCCAAGTAATGGGGTGCCCTGGTCCACGTCTCCCATCCGCCCCATCCACCACTGGGCTCTGGTTCCTACCTCCCCAGATTGCGCTCCCACCGCAGAGCCCTGTCAGCTCTGCCCACAGAAGCCAGGTGAGTCCTGACCAGAGAGTATCCTTCATGGCCATGGTCTCTGGGCTGGCTCGACTTCCAGGCCCTGCTCTTAGGTCAGCTGAAAGCAGCAATGCCAGGGCCTTCCTGACAAGACCCCGCTGGTATGTGGGCAGCATCTCTGATCTCTCTCTAAAGGTCATCTCTGCAGTCCCGCCCTTCCTGCCCAGCCTGTGCGGAGTTGTTTATTTCTCAGGGCTACATGCCACGATCCTTCTCAGCTACCTTGGCAGCAGCCTATTGAGGACAGCCAAGCTACCCAAAGACATGTTCAGCACTCCACCCTCTAGGGAGCCCTCGATGGGGTCCAGCTTGTGACTCTGCTGTGGCTCCGCAGGCGCCCTCCCAGCCAAGGCTGGAACACAGAGCCCGAGGCTGCGATAATCTGCTCAAATCCTCACCAACTCTCAGCCAGCAGTGCGATACAGATATGCTGGGTGTTCCGTTTCAGGCTCAAACTCGCCTGCAAGGTGCTATTCTCTTCCCTGGTGCCTCTCCAAGAAGCCACTGATAGCCCTCTGGGGAAAATGTGCCCTGGGGAAGCTGCCACCACTAGATAAGCCAGCTCCTCTAGTACCCCCTTCAGCATGGACCTTGGCAGAGGGGCGCCCAGGCCACCCTGTGAGGTCTGTACTCCATCCTGGCAGCAAGGAGGAAACAGAAGAGACTGCACTGGGCCTCATGCTCATCTTTCGGGGGAAGTCAGGCATTTTACAAAAATTGAGCACAGGATTTTAGCCCCCACCTCTGGGGACTTCAAGAAGTAAGTCTGAATTAGTGTACTACCAGGAATAAAAATAATGCTTGGTGAGTCCTAAGTCTGGGTCCAGACTGTAGTAAGTACTTTACACAGATCAATTCACTTAATTCTCATTAGCACCCCAGGGAATGAGGACTCCTCTTGGCCCCATTTTACAGATGAGAAATTGGAGGCGTGCAGATTACACATTGCCAGCCAGTGAGACAGTCAGGAGGAGGCCTCCAGATCCAGCCACACACCACGTCTGATGCTGCACAGACCCCCTGTGACCCTGGGCTCTGGACCAGCAGAACCCTAAGAAAGGAAAGGCAGCTCTTGGGACATGGAGCCCAGCCCCTGGGCCCCCAACCTTGAGCTGCATGAGTGATTGGCCCACCCACGCCTACACAGCACCCAGGTGCCCCATGGAACTCTTACTGGCATCCCCCGCTCTGTCTCCTCGCTCTCCCTTCTCTCCTTTCGGGCCTCGATCACCTAAAACACAGGAAGAACAGTGGCATTAGAGGTAGTAACAAATTCCAATGATGACTTAAGCCTTACTTGCAGACTTATTAATCCCAGGCCAGAGAAATCCTTAGGCAGGAACCAGCAGCAATCAGAGGGCACAGGAGGCAAGAGAAGAGCTCAGACAATTGTGCCCCCTGTTCTGGTCACCCCAGGAAAGAGCAGGGACCCAGCAGTGAAAGTCTCATCTCTTTCTTAAGCACAGAAGAGCAGCCGCCGCCACATAATCTCAAAGAGCACATGGCATTCAGCAGAAAGATGATGAAGGAAAGATGACAAAGCAGGCTGGGGATTTGGCTCAGTGGCATAAGCACCTGCCTTGTAGGCAGGTGGTCGTGAGTTCAATCCCTGGTACCGATAAAAACACACACACACACAAAAAAAAGATGACAAAGCAAAGGTATTGCTATGAAAATTTCAGGGTTTTAGAGTCCACATCCAACTTTGTTCCAGTGAGCACAGAGGAGGAAACAGGGAGGGCTCCAGTTAAGTAGGAAGAGACACGGGTTATACGCCAGGCAGATTTTCTGGTGGGGCAGACTATAGAACATATGAGTATGAGTTTCCACGGAATTAGGAATTTCCTTCTCAGGATATGGTTAGAAGAACAAAGCTTCTTTCCCAGGTGGCATCTCACTGTACAAAGAAGTAGAAAATCCTGCCACCACTTAGGAATTCTATTCCAAGGATCTCTGGAAAACCATCTGCAAAGCAAAAGTCTCTAGTGTACTATGGGTGAAAACTGCAAGTCAGAAATTTCTAGAAGAGAATACCTAGCAGGATTCAAGGTTTGAAAAAAAAATGCTAATATTTGTACATGAATGTGTTCAGAGAAAGGTCTGTCAGGATGTGCTCCAAAGAGTTGACAGTGACTATTCTAAAGAGTAAGCACTGAAGGAAGTGAGGGGTAGGGTAAGAGATTTTCTCTTTATTCTTTGCACAAAGACCCAAGGTAGCAATAGTGTTTTTTCAGTTCATTGTATTAAGAGAAGAGTAGGAAGCGTGGGGAAAGAGCACTGGATGTCCTCATCTTGTGTAGCGATGACAGGAAGTCTTAACAGTCTTGAAAGAAAATGGGAAAACAGAGACTGACTGAAGTAGGTTCCCATAAGAATGAGTTTCTGTTGTTTTTTTTTTCATTGGCACCAGGGGTCGAACTCATGACTGGTTCCCCTAAGAATGAACAAGGCACTATACACAGGAAGAAAAAAATAAATCAGAAGAAACGTGTTGCTAACATAAGCCTAAGGAGTGATTTACAGTCGTAAATACTGGAGGTCGTGGAGTACTGCAGAAAGGGAGGAACCTGGCAGGAAATGCAAGGAGGGGCCTCTGTGTTTTTCCTGGGGGCCACTTTGCCACCTTCCATGTTTCCATCTCTGGATTGAAGCCCACAGTAAGACTGCAAAAGACTTTAAAGACATTTTCACACACAGTCATTCCTCGTGACACAGAGCACAGTGGCATGAGGACTGTGAGCTTTAGATGGGAAACTGAGGCTGAATGGGATGAAGACACCGGGCCCTGGGTCGCTCTGCTGGGTGGCAGAGACATGAAGTGGCCCGTCAGGCCCGCCTAGCTCCCAAGTGCTGTCCACCGGTGCGGTGAGGTTCGTCATTACCTTTGAACCCACGCAAGCCCATCGGGCCTGTGGCTCCCAGCTTGCCGTCATCACCCTTGGGGCCAGGTAGTCCTGGGGTTCCCCGCTCGCCTGGAAGACCTGGAGGGAGAAGAGACAATGGTGGAGCTTCAGACCCGGGACCAGAAGGTCCTCAAGAGGTCACTGTCTGGTTCAACGACTGACCATGACCACACACCCTCCATATCATGGTTTCCTGTGTCTTCCTCACTCACTTTGACCTTCTCTCTCTCATTATTTAGGTGGGGACCCCTCCTCCTGAGAGGCCTAGTTCTGTTGTGAGTGGCTGGTGCTGATCCCAACCCCACTCTTTACTGCTGGAGATTTAGATTTGCAAACACCTGGAGCCTTTGTGCCCCAGGCATAAAGAATCTCACTGAATCATGGCATCAAACTAGGAGGTACTGTTATCCCTGCACTACCCATAAGGTAGTCAAGGCACAGAAAGGTTAAGTAGCCAGCCCAAGGGTACACAGCAGTGCTGGGGCAGGATCTGAGCTTCCTGAACAGAGAGCTCTTGGCTGGTCTGCCTCAGCTCCTTCGGGGTCTAAGGCGCCCCCTGGCCCCCAGGGAGTAGGTAGGGGGATGGCTGTTAGTGAACAGGAGGAAAATGAAACAGTGCTCCATTCTGTGTGAAGAAAGAATAAATAATCAGTTCCTTCCTGCAAAAGGGGCTGGAGGTTCAGAAGGACAAGGAAGCCATGGCCTGCTGCCCGATCAGGCCCCAGGCTCCTGGGACAAGGGGCCAGTGCTGATTGCACCATGGAGAGCCAGGACCAACAAACACTTTCATCAAGCAAGAGCCCCAGGGGATCTGGCCTCAGCTCACACTTATCTCTGCTAGGCAGACTGCCCTTTATTGACTAATTGTCCTCTCCCTCTTGGAGAGCAAGCTGGCTTTCTTTGGGCTTCTTTTTTAGGGGATCTGAGAAAGTTGCCTGGAGTGCTCGGTCCCATGGGAGGAGAGGGGAGGACTTCAGAGAGCACTGACTAATTTTCCTCCTTTTCCTTCCTGGGGGGCCGGGTAAGCATTCCCAGAGTCTGGTAGTCCTGTGGCCACAGAAGCCTGATTCTAATGCAGGATGTGCCCACACCTACCATTCATTAGGCAGAAAAAGTGGGTATGCAGCACCTTAACTGAGTTTTCAGAGCTCCCCTGAGGGGCTGGAGTAAAGGCAGACTGGGCACTGCCTCCTCTCTTTCTTGGAGATTCGGGCACAGTGATTCCTCAGATATGCTCCCAGACACCTCTCTGGCTACACTTTCCCTCTGGCCGCCTCCTAAGTCTCTGAGGGTGGCTGCGGGCGGAGCAGACTCAGTTGTGAGGTTTGACAGTCACAGAGCTGGAGCTTTCACAATAACTGAGTCTAAGAACCACACAGTCTTTCTAGAAGGTTCCAAAGTGCCCTCCCTGCCAGCCACTGGATCTGCAGGGCTGTTGTGCATGCAGCAGGACAGACAGGGCAGGAGTCTGTGACTCATGGGTGCATTACCTCGGAGGCCAGGGAGGCCAGGGATGCCAGTCTTTCCTTCCTTGCCTTCCTCCCCCTGATCACCTTTGGGTCCTGGTGGCCCTAGAAGGTAAAACCAACACCAAGGTTACAGAGTTGCTTTCTGGAACAGGCCTCAGACATCTGCAGGGGAAGTAGAAACTTCTTCTCTGATGACAGGAAGTGTCTGGGTGATGATGCCTTGGGATCCCACAGGATGTCAGCACCACCTAGCTCCATCTTGGGAAGACCAGGGAAGGCTCCCTGGAAGAAGTAACTTGCAAAGGAAATCTCAAGAAGCCAGAGCTGGTTACAAGCGTGGGGTGTGCTACAAATGGCATACCCATGTCGCCCCAAATCCATACACTGAAGTCCCCTGCAGTGGGGTGGTTTAGGAGATGGGGTCAGGGGGAGGAGATTAGGGTTACATGAGGTCATGAGGGTGGGGTCCTTGCCATGGGATTAGTGGCTTCACCAGACAGGGTGTGCACTAACGCACGTACACACACACACCCCACACTGACAGTGCAGCTGCCTGCAAACCCGGAAGGAAGCCCCTTCCTGAACCCAGACTTCCAGCCTCCACACCAGAAACAAATGTCTGTGATCTGAGTCCCTCTGTGTTTGGTGCTTGGTTATGGTAGTTGTGATGACTAAGCCAGGGTAAAAGGAAGGATCCTGGCAGGGGAGAAATCCCTCAAGACAGAGCTATAGAAACCCCCATAGCACAAGCAACTGGTGGTGGAGGAGGGCACTGTGGGGTGAGAAGGGTGGGTCTTGGAGGCCCTGCCTAAGTGCCCCACAGGAGGGCCCCAGAAAAGAGCCCTACACAGGAGGGAGTGGGGCTGGAGTCTGTCCAGGTGAGAGGTGGTGGAGCCCAAGGTCAGGGAAACAGCTGTCAGGGGACATCAGGGACAGAAGAGCCCAGCCTTGGCTCCCATTGGTGAAGGCCAGAATGAGGAGGTGGGTACACCCTTGGGCCTCTGCTGGGCACAGGACGGAGGTGGTTTCTACCTGCTTCCGAGCTGCCTCTCGGGGCGTGTGTGACTGGACTCAGTTCTCCACAACTGTGCCATGTGTGCAATTTATTTGTCATGTTCCGCAGAGCCAGCCAGCAAATGAAGGAGCTGTGGTTTCAGTCCAGGGTCTATCTGGTACGCCCTTTCTAGAATGTTCTGCCACTTGCTATTCCCAGACTGGCAAGCCCAGGAACCCCTCTGTTTACCTTCCAATACTACCAGCCCTCAAAGCTGCTCATCCTGGTGATGCCTGCTCTGACTCACCATTCCTACCAAAGGGGACACAACCCAGGACCTGGTACTATTGTCACACACCTCATAACGCAGTGACAGTAGACGTGTTCTCTCTGTCCTGACAGGGACTCACTCACTCCCTGAGACAGCACTATGTCCTTTAGACCCCCAGCTCTGAAGCTTCTCTCCTGCTGCTCTGTGAGAAAAATGTACTGGGCTGAGCAGTTCCCGCCCCATTCACATCCACTGGGAACCACCTCGCTCTGGTCAGGAAATGGGGTCTTTGCAGATATAATTAGCCAGCCTGAGGTCATGCTGGCTTGGGGTGGGCCCTGATCCACTGACTGGTATCCTCATAATAAAACAAAACAGAGAAATGAGGAGAACATCATGTGACCACAGAGGCAGAGACTGGAGCCATGTGACTGTAAGCCAAGGAATCGAATACTGCCAGCGGCCCCCAGAAGCCAAGAGGAAGCCAGGTTTCACAGAGCTTTCTTGGGGGCGATGGCCCCCACACACCTTGATTTCAGGCTTGCAAACTCCAGAACTGGAAGAGAATAAACTTCTATTATTGTACACAATCCAGTTCGTTGTGCTTTGCTGGAGCATCGCTAGGAAACCAAAACACGCATACTCACAGTGTCGTGGTAAGGTCTTACACAATACATAGCTGATGAATGAATGAGTATATGAGATCAGAGACTGTTAATACATACAAAACAAGCAGGCTGCCAAGAGCAAGATGTGCTGATACATTGCAAAAGTTGGCACCAAGCTCAGACCCTAACCAAAGTTGACAGATGCTTAATATTTCGATGGCACATCCATAGGGGAAAAGTAATCATAATCTCTTAACAACAACAACAACAACAACAACAACAATAAATTAATGAGTTACATAAAATTAAAGGAAGGTTGGGTTTATGGCCATCATTCTCTTTTCTGTGAAAAAAAGCAAAGGCTGCCATAGTGATCCCAGGTTCTAGAACTAGCCGGATTTAGAAGCAGACCCTGTTTGGAACAGGCTGAAGATTATACAGTCAATGAAAGGCAGAGTTAAGACGCAAACAAATGCCACATTCCCCTTCGAGACCTCCCCGGTGGTTAGACAGCAGCAAAGGGAATCCAAAGAGGGTGCCTGGATCTCTGTTGCTGGACCCTGACCCCATAGATCCCAGCCCCTCTTGCTCTGTTCTGTCCCCCAGCCTTCCCACAGAGAACCCGGGCTCAAGGAGCTGAGATAGTCATAGTCACATTTTCACACTGCTGCAGGTGTCATTCTGCTATAGTCTGCATTTTAAAGGTCCCCACAGCCTTAGTCCCCAGTCCACGACATTAATACTGGGTAGAGAACCTTGCTGTAGGAAGTTGGGTCATTAGGGATATGGCCCTGAGGCAGCTATTGGGACTGCGGTCTCTTCCTGTTTCCTGATTACCATGAGGTGAATGGTTTCCTCTTGCCATGAAGTTCTTTCTGTTCACCATAGACCCATGGCAACCGGGCCAACTAACCAAATACTGAACCCTCCAAAACCATGAACCTAAATAAAGCTCTCCTCTTTGTTTTATTTTTTCATCTTTTTGAGACAGGGTTTCACTATGCAGTTTGGGCTGGACTTGAACTCACTTTGTAACCCTGGCTGGCCTCAAACTTGAAGCAATCTTCCTGCCTCAGGCTCTGGAGTGCAGGGGATACAGGTGTGCAGCTGGTTTAAAGCTTTCCAGTTTAAAGTTTTCCTTTTTACAAGCTGATTATTTGGAATATTTTCTTACAGCAATGAAAAGCTGACTAATTAAGCATTGGACCTTCCAAAACCAAAGCCAGTATAAACCTCCCCTGTTTACAAGTCACTTAGCTAGAACATTTTGTCACAGTAATGGAAAGCTGACTGACACAGAACCCAGGGTATGGATTTTCCTGAGAGTGATCCTGGTAAGAGGAAGGTGCTGCCCAGTGGAACCACCCTGGTGTGACTAAGAGAATGGCAAGAATTTGGAAGGTGAGAGCTGAATGTGGACACACCGCACCAGGGCTCAGGCCCTTTGGTCCTATTTCAGCTGGATAAGAGCCCTTTCTTTGGTGCAGTTTGTAGCAGGAAGCGAAAAGATTCAATTCAGTGGCTTGGTGAATATGGAAGTGATTCCTGACCTTGGGAGTGAGGGCATCCCTGACCACCTGCACCCTGCTTTTCATAGGCTTCATGAGAACTATAATCAGATTACTGTTGGAGTTGTTCTAAGGTGCATCCCAAATCACCCTGCTGACTCTGGATTCAAAGACCAGATGTTTTAGAGCCACAGTCTAAATGCATGGTACATATGGGTGTATTTTTTACACACAAGTAAGTGGCTAGTGCTGTAGGGTCATAGTGGAGATCAATAGGCAGATGTTGGAACCGACGGTGAAGGTGGGCGGTCATCCCCAGCCTGGGTCCCAGTCTCAGATCAAGCTAGCCTGGCTGACTGACAAGAGCCTGCAGGGTGGCCAGAGCTTTGTGGGGTCACATTACCCGGTGCCCCAAGGACAGGTTCCTCTTCAGACAACTGTGGCTGCCCTTGGCTACACTTTCTCAATGGGCTGCTGTCTTCTCAGGAATCCAGGCTGGCAACTTCTGGTCCACTCTGACTCCTTTCACATCACATACACCCTGTGACACATGCTTGCCCTCAAGGAGGGTCCATCTCCTCTGCCATGTTTCTGATTGCCATCTTCTTTGCTGGATCCTCCTGGTCCCACTTCTGTCCCCCTTGTCTCTGGTCTTTCTCTCCAACCCACTGTGTACACTGCTGTTAGATTAATCTCTCCAAAATACATAAACAACCAAGTGAACTCAGAGTTCTCAGAGCACCCCCAGCATGGTGTGGTCCTCCAGCATGGTGACCTCAGCCCTTGTGGGCGATGTCACAGATCATTTCCAGTCTGAGCTTCTGCTGCACTTTCTATATGATGCTTCTGGACTCTCCTCTCTCTCAGCAAACTCTTTCTCATGGGTCCCCAACCACTGGCCTAGGCTTCCAAGGGTCCAATCCCCCTAGGCCCAGAAATTTGCTTTCATGCCCAGCTATCTGATCTCTCAGGGCACCATGATCAGAGCCCCCAGCTGTTGGGCACAGCTGTGCAACACTGAGGCTGGAGCACCTGAGCCTCATCAGGCAGCACCTGCCTGCTCGCTGAATGCTATCATCACCTTGGACTGCAGTCCCTAAGGAGGACAGCCCTCTGCAGAATGAGTCACCTCTCTGTGACCCCATGGCTCATACAAGGCCTGGCCCACTGTGAGGATTAGTAGGGTGACTTCTGGGCAGTTATGTGATGAGTTGCCCCCAGTAACACTTGCACGAGCTTTTAGACTTCTCCCCTTTCTACAGTCACACGTCTCATCTTTGCCATTAGCCAGGAAGGACTGGGTGAGGAGGTGGCCAGACAAGGAGGAACAGGGTGCTAGTAGGGGTCCATCTTAGGGCAGTCCACCAGCCTTGGCCACACTATCTCCAGTGCAGTTCTGCTCTTTGAGATGCCACATGGATGCATCTTCTGCCCAGAGGAGGACCAGTGACTGAACATCTGGGAAAAATTCCAGGGTTGTCATGGTGACCAACCAACATGGGCAGATGCAACTCTTTCTTCCTTTCCAAGTCCTAGGACAAGGAGTGGGGTGAGAGGAACTGTGTGTGCTGGAATCAGGGGAGTGACCTGCTCAGAAGGAGCCATCAGGACATCTGTATCTCAGCTACACTGAACCCCCCTGACAGAGGGCAAAGTCCTTCCACTGGCTGCTCTACACTCAGTTCCCTGAAGTCATGGAGCCCTGGACCTTGGCACCTCCTCCGGTACAGCCTGAGAACTCCAGGCATCACCCCCCACCCCTGAGAAGTGGGTAGGGCAGCACTGTCAGCCCCATTTCACAGCCAGGGAGACCCAGCCCTAAAAGATGAGGGGCAGCCTCTGAGTCCAAGGGCAAAGTGGGCAGGGCCAGGCTGAGTACGGCTGCTCATTTCCACCTTACAGCAAGGTCAGGGGTGGAAGGTGAGAGGATAGAGGGCCTCACAGCCCACCCCGGGACCTCACCCAGGCCACATATCCCGGTCCTTCATGGAAAAGCACTAATCTCCATGTCACTCAGTGCCATCTCTGTTAACTAGAGCCAGAGGCCCAAACTTAGCATCCGGCATCCAAAACACCACTTGAATTAGATCCCCTGCTCCAGAAATTTCCTATCCTACTATCATAGATGGTGGTTTTCTTTTCTCGAAGAAGCAGTCCACAGATACCCTTTTTGGGGCTAGTTCACCAGCCCAGCCCAGCCTAGCCCACACTGAACCCTGCCCTGTGTTTGCATCTCCCTGTCACACAAGGACCAGTGTCTGAGTTGTCCTCAACTGCAAAACAAGACTGGATGACATGCTGCTCATTCTCGAGTCTTGTGATTTTAGGCACTCACATTTAGCCAAGGGCCATTTGGATATGACTCAAGGTGCCTACCTCCCACCTACCCCCACAGAGCCCCCCTCCCTATGTCTCTCCCCCTCCAGTGGTGCCTCCCCTCTCTAATAATCTATGTTCTTGGCTCCTTTGAAATTCACATGTGCATTTCAGCAGATGTGATTGATGCTCAAAATCCAAAGAAGAAAACACAAAGCCCTGCTGTGAACATCCACAAAAGACAAACAGGAGACGAAATTCATAGAAAACTGCATAACAAAGTGAGAGAATGAAAACCATTTGGACTAAGCTCAAGAGTAAAGTAAATACGCTCTTACTTGAAAAATACAGATAGTTGAGTATTTGTAGATTCTGAGCCAGGCCAGGGTCAAAGAGAAGAGAATGGTGTGTGTATGTGGATTTACCCGTGTTGGTGTGAATGTGTGGATGTTGGTGTACAGGTGTGCGTGTGTGTTCATGTACATGTGTGTCTGTTTAAAGATTTTAAGAAAGGAACTGGGCAAAGTGAGGGAGCAAGGCCCCTCCTGACGGTCCAGGGCAACGGGGACGCTTTGCAGGTAAAGTGTCCCCATCCTGAAGCCGGGCCAGAGCTCTGTGAACCCTGAACAGCACTCCTTGCAACCTGAGAGGGAAGTGGGAAAGGGAGAAGGTACCAGATAAAGGGCACCACTGAGAGCTGGAAGGGCTGAGCTGCAGGAGCCAGGAGCCACAGGCCTGCGGTCTGAATGTGGCCTCCCCACCCCAGATTCAGGTTCCACAACCTAGTCACAGAGACACAGCATCAGGAGGTGCAGCCCCGAGGAGTGACTGGGTCAGGAGAGAGGAGCCCTCCAGAATGGGATTAGAGCCCTTACAGAAGTGGCCCCAGGAAGTCTGTCCCTTCGACCATGTGGGGACCCAGCAAGAAGGTGCTGCCACTGCTTATAGCAGGGAGCAGGGTGTCGGTGACAACTCTGGGACTCCCAAGTTTAGACATTTGCTTTATGTCTTTCCAACCTCACAGGAAGCCAAAGGGACGTTATTTGGGTTACTTTTCTGCAGAGTGGGGACAATAATACTGTTTGCAGGATGTGAGGAGAGGGGTCTTGAGCAATGCTAGGAGAATGAGGGCCTGAAATGCCTGGTTCAGGGTAGATAAGAAGACAGAGTGGCCATCTCATCAGCAAGGGCAGACTAGATGCTGACAGGCAGAAGACACTGAGGGAAAAATACAGGAAAAGCCAAGATCCAAGGCGTGGATTTGGAAGGAACAATTCTACCCTGTCTTTCTTCAACTTCGGAGACAGGAAAGCCCAAAGGGACGAGGCCCAGTCTACAGGCTGCCAGGGGAAGCCCTTGCTCGTCCGGCATCCAGGTTTAACGGCTGTCCTCATGTCCTGAGTCCCAGCTGAGTTTGCACTGAGGACACAGAGATGGCCCCATTCTGCAGGGCAGCAGAATGAGCACAGGATGTTGAGATTCAAAGTCCTGCTCTGTTCATTGAATTTGGCTCTTCCTGGGCTGAATGTTTCTGTGTGTAAGTTAGATTTCACTAAATCTATTGAAAACAAAACGGCCTGGGTTGCGACATCACCAGTCATGTGGCCATGGTAGTTCTCCCTGGTGTGTTGTTTTTGCTGAAATCCTGTCTCTCTCTGCAGTGACACCTCCCTTAAGCCCAGCTACACGAGGACCCGCTTTCAAACAAAGCCGTGCACAGGAGAGTGCGCTGGGAAGCGGGGAGGGGAGGCAAATGCCAGGCACCGGGATGAGTCCTGTTTGCGGTGCTCAAACAGAAGCTCAGGGAAGGGGCCTGCTGTGTAGGGCAGAGACAAGGCGGCTCCTGGAGGAGGCCAGTGTGGGAAGAGGTTCTGGGGAGATGCAGTGATACCTGCACACAGCTCAGTCCATGCTCTTGACGAGCTAAAGAAGAAAGCAGGACAGAAGGGAATGTGACCAAGAGCCCAGCAAGATCAGAGAGGCCGGGGTCCAAATCCCTTTCTGTCCTGTGATCTAGACAAACTGTTGAAGCTTCCTGGACCTCATGCCCCTGGTGATACGAGGGGGACAGAGGCACTTCCTAGAGAGGGCATTACCAGTCCTGGTCCCAGAGTAGGAACACATTGGGGGTCTGCACAGTTTCCCATCATACTCAAGAGTTACAGATGGAACGAAAACAGTGTCAGGTGAAATGCGTTCTTCCACCTCTGGTAAATAGACCTTCCTAACAGCCCTGAAGGTCAGCTTCAAATGTGGGCTTCTCTACTTCTTGGGGCACCACCACCAGAGCACAGGACACCGGAGGTGCTGCTCTCTTTCCTCCCCCTGCAGCCTGGTTCCTGGGCCTCCTCTCTGCTCCTGCTTCAAGCTCTGGGCAGTCTCAGCCCAGCACTCAAGCTCAGATTCCCACCCACTTAGCCATCCCCAGCACAGGAAGCCCACACTGGCTCCAACTTGTGGCAATCCTCCTGCGTCAGCCTCCCAGGTGCTGGGATTCCACGTGTGCACTGCCACCCCTGGTTACCAGCCTTTGGATTCTACTCTCTGCCCTAGAGAAGTTTACCCAGGAGTCAGATCTGGGCAGACCCTGGAAGCGATTAGGGTCACACAGGCAGAAAATCTCAGAGTTCTGTGGGCTCAGACACAGGAGTATTTGGGGATGCCAAAGGGATTTCCCGGCCCTTGGGAGGGAGGTGCAGGAGAAAAGCCCAAGCCAAGGGCTGTGGGAGCTGGGGACTGGGGGCTGGCGGCAGCAGTACCTTGGGCGAGGGAGATGTTCCGCAGCGCAATGGAGTGCTCCCAGTCCTTGAGGCGCAGGTCCTCAGTGACCGCATTGAGCATGGCCAGCTCCTGCTTCAGCTGCAGCTCCATGCCCAGGTGCACCAGCCTCAGGCGGCGTGTGTCCTCACTGGCGTTGGTCACCAGCACCTGCAGGTCCTGCAGCCGCGTTTGGTGTAGCGCCACGTCGTAGGACAGGCTGTGGTTGAGGCCGCGCAGTGAGCCGCCCACATCCGCCAGCTCCTCGCCCAGGACGCCCACCCTGCGAGCCAACCCGTCCAGCAGGCCGGCATGGCGCCCCAGCAGTAGCTGGCTGCGATTGCTCTCCACCTGCAGCTGGTACAGCTCCAGCTGCGCCGCATCGCTCTGCTGGCCCGTGCGGTCCCGCAGCAGGGCCACCGCCTGCTCGGTCTGCGCCGCCTGCTCTTGCAGCCCCCACAGCGTGCCCTCCAGCCGCTGCACAGCGCTAGCCAGGGCGAGCAGTGAGTCCGACTGGTTCTGCAGCGCGTCCTGCACTTTCCACACCTGTTCGGTCAGGTCGGCCTGCAGCGGGGCCTGCAGCAGCCGCAGCTGCAAGTCCCGGAAGCTCTCATTCAGCCAGTTCACATTCCTAGTCAGTGCCTTCAGGTCGTCCGGGGAGCTGCGGGGTCTGGACACTGCGGATGAGCAGAGGGAGAGGAGATGTGAGCGCCGCTGGGGAGGGAGGACCAGGTATCCAGGGATGAGCAGACCGGACATGAGAGGGGGGCTTCCACAGATCCCAGGCACTGCACTAAGTCTGGTCCCCAGCCTGTCTGCACCGCACAAGGGGGTCAGGGTGCCAGGTGTGCCACCTGCAGACGCTAGTCTGAGACTTTTGCAACTTTTCTTTTTAGTGTATGCTTACTGTACGTAATAATTATGTTCATCTTGGACGGTTGGTAATACATGTACATGTAATACATGTATATGGCACCTTGATCACCTTTACTCCACCTCTTCTCTCCAACCTCATAGCCCTTCCTATCTCCACACACACTATCTCCTTAGCTCCTACCATCCCTTTTTTATTTTGCATTTCAAATTGCTTAGATTTTGGGATTCTAATCTAAGAGAAACCGTGCAATCTTTAACCTTTTGTATCTGATTTATTTCACTTAGCATTATGGAGACACTAAAGTCTTTTTTTTTTAGATAGGATCTATGTAGTGCAGGTTGGCCTTGAACTCACTCTGCAGTCCAGGCTGGCCTTGAAATCTCAGCAGTCCTCCTGCTTCAGCCTCTTGAGCACTGGGATTACCTGTTCAGTCAGGTCGGCCTGCAGCCACTTGATGTGTGCCACCAAGGTATGTACCATGGTCCTGATCTAAGCATCCTCTGCTAGGCTGGTCCCTAAAAGATTTTGTATTTTGCATATTGCAAAGTGGTTGAGTAATAGGTTTCTGGAATTCCATTTAAGATACCGGGTTCTGTGACCCCCTCAACTTTAGGAAGTGATCACCTGCAGTGGCCTGGATGTCCTCCTCCCTTGAAATCTGTTAGTGGGAGCTAATTGCCAAGTGACAGTTACAGTGAGTCACGGGGGCAGGGCCCTCAGGAATGAGGTTATGTCCCAGTCAGAGGTGCCAGGGAGCTGCTCACCCTTCCGGCCATGCGAAGATACCCAGGAAACATCATCTCTGAGAAGGAGACCCAGGCCGAACCCTGCCTGTCTTGGCACCTTGATCTTGGTCTTCCCACTTGCTAAGCTACAAGCTGTAAACTGCTGTTGTTTAGAAGTCATCCAGTCTGAGCTATTTCATTGTAGCAGGCCAGATGGACTAAGCCAGCAACATGATTATCCATGTTTACAGTTAGACCTGCTAATGTTGCCCAGGGCAGCATAACAAGTGATGAGAACCCAGAGGACCGGCTCCAGAGCTGGGGTTTTGCCCCCAGTCTGCTCCACAAGGGCCTAAAGGAACAGCATTCAGGCAGCCAGGCCAGCTAGGCTCATGGCCACACACAGTGTTATTTGATACCCTTCGGAGTCCAAGCTCCCTTCCTCCTGCTGTGGCAAAGGTCCTGCTGGGCAGGTGAAAAATGGCTTTAGATCTCTACCTTCCTTCTCTGTATCCTCTCACCCTTGTAGTTCTCTGACTTTTAATCTTCAGAAAATGAGGTATCGCAAAGACTCCCCACCCTTTCCTCTTGGAGAGGGTCCCTTCTCTTGGCTACAAACAGCTGTTTCACAACCCTAAGACCAGGAAGCTAAATGCTGGCCTCTGGCCTCCTGCATCTGCTGGGGTTCAGGGTACACTGCACGCCCTGGGGTTAGGGGTCAGGGGCTGTGTGTCCCTCAGCTCTGCTGTGCACACCAGGAAGTGGAAACCAGTGGCCTGGAAGAGACAGAGGAGGAGGAGGAAGAAGAAGATGAGACACAGAGGGAATTCAGCCTTGGAAATCTTAGAATCCAGGAACTTGGTTACAGAGCTTGTCAAACAACAAGGACATTTTGACAGGCTAAGTTCTCTTCCAGAACTTCATGTTAGGGTGGGGGAAAGAATCTGCATGGTTTGGGAGTGGTCACATGAAAATCTATGACCACAGTCACCTAGTGACACTTATGGAAGGACAGAGCATTGCAGTGGTCACCTTGTGGAAGATAAGCCATTTCAGAGGCACCCAGAGTAGGACAGGGCCTTAGAGCCCTGCCCTTAGACCTTCATCCAAAAAGGTCACACCATGAAATGGTCACCTGCCTCTGCTTACACCACTTTCAGTTAGTTCTGACTGTTGGAATAGTCTGCAGTCTGCTCAGGCCCCCCAAAATGTGCCCCCTTGCATTTCCATCCACTGATCTGCCCTTTGGGGGAGATAGAGAGCTAGTGGACACCATTCTTCCCACAAGACAGCCTTGTAGCATTTCAAAGAACTTGCAGTTCTTTCTTGTATTTTCTCAAAATGAGAGCTAGTCTCTGTGCATCATAGCTGACCTCTCTAATATATGCACTACAGTTGGTCAACACCAGCTGAAAGGTGGTCTTTGGAAACCAGGTGCTTTTCCAAGGCATGCAAAGACCTGACAGAGTATGGGGGAAGGATCGGCACATTGTTTTGGGCAGGAGCTGTCCAATGAGATGGGCCTCGGCTGGCCCTGTTCAGTTCATCAGGGCTTTGCAGAGTCAGCCACTAGGTTGGGTCTACCCAGCCTCTGGTGAGCTAGATGTTTCCTCTATTCTACAGTTGAAGTGACCGAGGCCAGGAGGGTGAAGATGACCCACTAACACCGGTCACTCCTGCCCCTTGAAATCCCAGCATGGCTCCGTTCTGGAAGGTTGACCACAGAGCTGCCGACACACAGGGAGCTTTCAGGGAAAATGTGGGAACCATCCACTGTACAAACCACCAGAGGTCAAGACTGGAACCTAACACAATCTACCCACCCCAGGCACAACTGTAAGACACAGTGGATAAGAAGCAGGAAGACTGACATCCTCCCTTCAGTTTCTGGAGCACACAAACACAGCACTGGTGCCAGCAGTGGACGGACCCTGAGGTGTGATGGCTCTGATCTGGGACTGGGAGTGATGTACAGAGGCCAGAGTTCACAGGACTGGGTCAGGCCATGGTTGCCTGGAGCCCAGAGCTTGCCAGGGGCCACCCCTTTCCCTCTCTGTCTCTCCCCAGCTGCCATGGCTCTCTCTAGCCCACTTCTGGACACTGTGTCCTCTCTCCTTGGAGGCCTCAGGCCCTGTTCATCAGCTCCTGCCTCCTGCCCCAGCCCTTCTCCCTGTCTAGGAACTTGAACTGAAGCTGTGTCCACATGGGCACAGCTGACAATCAGCTGCCCTTCCAGGGAAGTCCATGTGTGCCCTTCCTTGCTGTTCACTGCATGATCAAAATTAACACAAATCCAAAGACAAGCAACAAAAAGCCTCCCAAACACCCCAATGGCCTCCAACAAGATTCTCTGGGTTTCCTTCTCTGGCTCCATCCATTTGCACAGCCAGACTTTGCAATTCGATGTCTGGGTTTTCCCACACAATATTATAATTACTTCACAAGCACTTTCCCATCCTTGACTCCTGTCCTTTATAATTGTGATGACTGCAAGAGTCCCTCGAGGGGACACACTGTAATTTATCCATTTTTGTTCTGTGGAATCTTTTATTTTCTTTTCATTCATGGTAAATAAATGCAGAAATGTTTCCTCTTTCTTGAAAATTTTTCTATAAACTTTTCAATAAATTCCCAGAAGTTGGCCAGAGTTAGTCAAAAGGCATGGCTATTTTATGATTCTGACAAAACCCCAGCCAATTTAATCGCCCCAAATTACACTACTTTAGTTACATTTCAGATCTTTAAGTGTGCCAATTACCACACAGTATTGCTGCACCTTTGTTATTTGTGCACAGCACACTTCATAGACACAAACTGGCACCTCGTTATATTTGCATTTCAGAAGTGGCCTTTCAAAGGCAATATCAATGGCTCTGGTACGCGGGTTAACCGGGATGTTACTTTACACATCCTGCCCTCTGTCGAAGGCCTTCCTCTGGGATCATGTGTGCACTCCGGAGTGAATTATCTCCTTCCAGCAGTCACCGAGTTTCCCAGCTTATACTCCTGCACCACCCCACTCGCCCTCTAATTCCTTCCAGATGTCTGCTGCCCTCAACAGGGAACAATTCTTACTTGAGTGTGATCCTCTTAATTCGTGTTTATGCAAACAGTTCATTTATCTCTCTGCCTGGTGCATCTACTTTTAATGTGTTTTAATTATTCTTTAACTTTTATACTTTCACACAAGGAAAATAAATCATAGGATAACAATAACAGCTGGAATTTCCTGAATACTTATTGTACTCCAAACAACAGTTCTAAGTGCTTTCCACATCAATACATGAAATCTCCAAACAGCTCCATGCAATAATTGTGAACCTACAAGTGTTATTAGTATCTTCATACTCCAGATGAGAAAGGGAGACACGCAGATGTTAAGTAACCCTCTAGGTCACAAGGCCAGGAGATGGGGGAGGCTGACTGAGCCCCTCGAGTCTGGTGTCTGAGTCCTCAGCCTGAACAACTTTTCATCCTCCTGCAAAGGTACAGGATAGAGAACAAAGTATGTAACAGTCAAAGGTGGAATAAATTTTGATGGCAGTGAGCTCCCCATTATAGACCCAGGCTTAAGTTAGGCTGCTTGGTAGGAATCATATAGGGATTCAACTTGAGATTCTGGCCTTGTATTGATTGCTGGATCCAAATGAATGCATTACTTTTTTTTATAAGAATAAGTGATCGGCATTCACATTGGCCTTAGGGCAAGATGAGGCTTAGTGGTACACAGAAAATGTGTTTTGTGGCTCTCCTTGAATGGCCTTGTCTCCCCATCCACACCTGGCCTGTCTGTGCCCTGCCACAGCTGCCTGTTATATGCAGGAAAAGTTAATCACCTACAATCTGAGTCAGGGTGTTCCGAGAGTGACTGGACCTGTCAGCATTTGCCCTGAACACATCAGGTGTACTATAATTCCTGCCAGGTGTGCATGCGTGCATGCGTGTGTGTGTGTGTGTGTTGTGTGTGTGTGTGTGTGTGAGGGAGAGAGAGGAAGGCAGAAAGTGTTTCACTGACCTTGTCACCTTGATTGGCAGCTGGATGTCCATTGCTTTATTTAAGTCATAGCCTAACTCT